GCTTACTTTCTGAAAAGTCTAAGGGTAGTGATTCTCTTATAAAGCAAGGCTAAAGCCTTCGTTTTGGTGTGTGGTATAGACAAGAGTTTACATCAGCTGCGCTCTGGGCCCAGTGGATTCTCAGTGGAACTGGAGGTCGAGAATGAGAGGGAGACAAATTAGGCACATGCTGAAAAGGGGATCCAAGATATTCCAAAGCAGAAGAACTTGGTCCCTATTCTCAATACTTTGGATGAGATGGACCCATTGTCTGCAGGGTCTTCGGGTCCTTCATGAGGGGTCTCTTTCTTCTAGGGTCTCAGAGCAACAGAAGGATTCATTCACCCTGGAAGAGGCTCTCTCCCCTTGGGTAAGGAAGGAGAGGGCAGAAACTGTGGATCAGGAAGGATGTCAAACACCCTGAACTTAAGGGGCTTCCCTTTTTTTTAAAGGGCTAAGCTTTCCTCACATTGGAATGGCAAACTCAGCTAGCAAAAACAGCCCTAGCAGGCCTGTTCTTGCTGTAAGAGTGGGCTAATCTTGCTCCCAGACTTCAGCCTTAGTTTGGGGAGCAAAGCAGCCTGGGCTTGAACACTTCACTCTCCTTGATAGGATTCCTTAGAACAGATCATCAGGAGCCTGGAGCGAGAGGAGTGGTAGCCTTTGTCTGACACAGCAAGGTAGGGTATTCTTATCTAAAGAAAACTGAGCTAAAGGATGTCTGAAGCCACTCAGGGATTGCAGCCCCTTCTGAAGAAGAATGACTAAGAGGGTGGGTGGCAGCACAGCCAGTCTGTTATTTTCATTTTAGGAGGTAGCCCTCTGCATACATCAGGATGTAGATTTCTATGCTGTTGAGAACAGACATAGTAGAAATGTACAAACATGGCCTTTGAGAAGGGGTTGTGTTTCAAATGTAATCTCTGGCATGGGTGTGTGTGTGGAATTCCCAAAAGAATCTCAATATTCAGGCCTCACTTTCTCTCCTTTTCCAGGCCTGGAATAAATCTGCGGAGCAACCAGGACCCTGCAGCCCGGCGAGTTGCTCCTGAGATGAAGGGCGACCTCCAGAAGGCTTGCTACCTGCTCCTATTCGGACACAGGATGCTGCAGACAGGTAAGGAAAAGAGCTGGAAGAAAACAAAGTCTTCTCCACTGAAGAGGCTGTCTAGTTAGGTGTAGAGCAGAGTTTGCTTTGCTTTAGACATCCATGGAAGGGGAAGAGATCGGATGTCAGTCACAGTGTAAGCTAATTGCAAACTGAAGGGTAGGAGTAAACAAACATGTTGCTTTGTTTTGTAGATCTCCAGTTAGATGAGAAATTATTATGTCAATTTTCTTTTCTTTTCTTTTTATTTTTTAGGAATGAGGTCACCTTGAGTGAAAGGACAGTTCAGCTGCACCATGGCTTAAAAGGGAAGGTATCTGGAAGAGAAACGATGTGGGTGGGCTTCTCCACCTCCTGACCCAGGGAAGCCCTGCCCTTAAGTCTCCACAAGGCCCTTTCCTCCCTGCCCTCACTTTGCAGGGTG